ATCCAAAGAAGGGCAATGCCAAAGAATGTTCAAACTACCGCACCATTGCACTCATTTCACATGCTAGCAAAGTGATGCTCCAAATCCTACAAGCTAGGCTCCAGCAATATGTGAACTGAGAACTACCAGAAGTACAGGCAGGATTTCGAAGAGGGAGAGGAACTAGAAATCAAATTGCCAACATACACAGGATCACGGAGAAAGCTAGGGAGTTCCAGAAAAACATCTACTTCCGCTTCATTGACTATACTAATGCTTTTGATTGTGTGGATCACAACATATTGTGGCAAGTTCTTAAAGAGATGGGAGTACCAGACCATCTTATATGTCTCTTGAGAAACCTGTATGCGGGTCAAGAAGCAACAGTGAGAACTGGACACAGAAATACTGATTGTTTCAAAATTAAGAAAGGAGTTCAGCAAGGCTGTATTCTGTCGCCCTGCCTATTTAACTTATATGCAGAGCACTTCATGAGAAAGGCGAGGCTAGATGAATCACAAGATGGAATTAAGATTGCTGGGGGAAATATCAACAAGCTCATATATGCAGATGATACCATTCTAATGCCAGAAAGTGAAGAAGAACTAAAGAGCCTCTTGATGCGGGTGAAGGAGGAGATTGCAAATGTTGGCTTGAAACTCGACATTAAGATAACTAAGATCATGGCATCTGGTCCTCTCACTTCCTGGCAAATAGATGGGGAAGAAATGGAGGTAGTGACATATTTTATTTTCCTGGGCTCCAAGATCACCACAGACAGGGACTGCAGCCAAGAAATTGCTCCTTGGGAGGAAAGTTATGACAATTCTAGACAGCATACAAAAAGCAGAGACATCACCCTGCCAACAAAAGTGCATATAGTCAAGGCTATGGTTTTCCGGTTGCAATGAATGGCTGTGAAAGCTGGACCCTAAGAAGGCTGAGCGCCGAAGGATTGAGGCCTTTGAATTGTGGTGCTGGAGGAGACTCCTGTGAGTCCCTTGGACCGCAAGGCGATCAAACCGGTCAGTCCTAGAGGAGATCAACCCTGAAGAAGGAGGAGAAGCAGATGAAAGAAGGAAAAACATATTGGGTTCACAATGCTTAGTAAAAGGCATAGTTAGGGTTTTGCAGGAAAAAGTCTTCAGAAAGGTTCCATGACTGAAAAAGTTTGGGAACTGCTGAACCAAGGGTCCCATTAACTGAGCCATTCCGTTGTTCAATGCCGGGGATAGAGTTTGCTTAGTGGTGGCCCCATAGCTTTAGAAGCCCCTGCTCAGAGAGATACATAGCAGCCTCATCAGGGCTGTTTCTTTGCTTAAATAAACCTGGAGACAGATTTCTTCCAGGCTGCATTTATGGCTTAAAATATGTAACATCTATGAGCGTGCATTTAAGTTGTAATTGTGTGTTAACGCTTTCGTACCATAACACAAGCCACCTCAGGAGGCCAGTGTCCCCTAAAGGCAAGTTTAAAACTTTAAAACACCACATACATCCCTGTCCTTAATTCACAATTTCTAGTCTGCAGTTTTTAAAGGATCTCGGAGTACTTGGTGAATGGCACCTCCAGAGGCGATAACAGCATTTGTGTTAAATACCAGTGGTGCAAAAAAAATGTATACACATTTTAAGAGATGTCATCTATGTGTTACTTTTTGAAATTGATTGAATTACAGAAGCAATGTGTAATATGACATTCGCTCAAAAGATGGCACTACTTCGAAAAGAAATCAAAGCAGCATTCACAGTGATACAAGTTTGGTCAATGGTTGTTCACCTGGTTGTTGTTAGTTGCAAGGTCATGTTTGACCCATCACGACCCCATGGACAACACTCCTCCAGGCCTTCTTGTCCCCCACCATCCCCTGGAGTCCACCTAAGCTCACCCCAACTGCCTCAGTGACCCCATCCAGTCACCTCATCCTCTGCCGCCCCCTCCTTCTTTTGCCATCTGTTGTTCCCAGCATGAGGCTCTTCTCCAGGGAGTCCGTCCTTCTCATCAGGTGGCCAAAGTATTTAAGTTTCACCTTCAGGATCTGGCCTTCTAAAGAGCAGTCAGGGTTGATCTTCTCCAGGACTGACCGGTTTGATCGCCTTGCAGTCCAAGGGAGTCGCAGGAGTCTCCTCCAGCACCACAATTCAAAGGCCTCTATTCTTCAGCGCTCAGCCTTCTTAGGGTCCAGCTTTCACAGCCATTCATTGCAACTGGGAAAACCATAGCCTTGACTATACGCACTTTTGTCGGCAGGGTGATGTCTCTGCTTTTTAGTATGCTGTCTAGATTTGCCATAGCTTTCCTCCCCAGAAGCAAGCGTCTTTTAATTTCTTGGCTGCAGTCCCCATCTGCGGTGATCTTGGAGTTCACCTAGCAGTTCGCCGCAATCAGAAGTATCTGATGCCGACGGGAACCACTCTGAGCACCTCGTGCAATTGCAGAAGTCAAGCATGACCTGTATTCATTCATCTTTTGTTACTGGTATATACTGAGTATTACAATTTTAATATTTTTTCTTTTCTTAAAATGTGTATACATTTTGGCACCCTCTGTGCCAAAAAGTGCATAATGCAATTAATGCATGATCATTTAACTGTTTGGATGATATATACAAAGGCACTCTGGACCTGTGCAAAGCTCTCTACACACAGTCTGGTTGGAGAATACAGTGGTACCTCAGCTCACAAATGCCTCAGTTCACAACCATATCGGGTCACGAACAAAAATTTCATAAAAAATTTGAATCAGGTTGCGACTCTGCATTGGGTGGTGACCGCGATCGCAGCCATCTCCCTACCCCGAGTGGGGAGATGGTCGCGATCATGCTGGGGGTGGGGCAGATAGCCAAGATCGCGCCTGTCTTTCCTGCACAATTGCACCCATGATTGCACCCCTATTTCCTGCAGGAGCGGAACTGCAATCTCGGCCATCTCCCCTCAGCACGATCGCGCCTGTCTCCCCCCCTCCCAGCATGCCTGCATTTGCGCCCCCCACTCTGAATGCACCCGTGTTCACGCTCATCTCTCCCCCACAAGCGTGCCGGGAGGACAGGCACATGCAGGGATGCTGGCATGACTGCGGTCATGCTGGGGGCAGGGAGATGGCTGTGATCTTTGTTGTTCTTTGTCACTTTGCTCCTTCACATTTTTCTGATTAAAAAAATGGTCCCAGAACGAATTAAACTCATTTAAATTGGACCTCATGGGGAAATTTAAATTGGCTCATGACCAATTTGGGTCGCGACCAGAGTCCCGGAATGGATTAAGTTTGTGAGCCGAGGTACCACTGTATCAGACAAAAGGGCTATTGGACCGTTTGGTTTTATTGTTTCAGTTAACAAAGAAATTCAGGGAAAAATATGTAATCCAACTGCCTAGAGATCCAGACATAAAAATCAGAGCCCTGCTCCACTCTTGGAAATGCCATTGGAGTTGGTACTCCAACTTCAGACCACCCTCCTTTGCGGTTGGTGTGGTGCAGAAGATGGACGACAGGGCCAGCACAGAAGGGAGCAGGCAAAGAGTAATGGGAAGCCACACTGACGTGTCTTTCCAGCATAACTTGTCATTTTTAGCAAGTTAAGATACAGGTCTATCGTTCAATTTATTTTAACCAAACCAAAAGCAAACAGACCACAGGCTCAGGCAACAAAATCTACATGAAAACACAACACATAGAGCTGCTGAACTCTGGGACTGGCTTCTGAGCAGACAGGCAACAACTGACTAATAAGCACCCCATTCAAAACATCCTAAGCACTGCAAAAGGGTTGTGGTTCCATTCAACAAGGGGCAGTTTCAGGCCTGTCCACGCAAGACATTACACTGATTTTCAAGTGCACAATCTGTTTCACCTGCCTTACCCCAGCCTTGTTCTTCTCTTCTCCACAAGGTAAGTGGTGCTGACACTTGCAGACTGACCCCAAGTCAGCCAGTGAGCTTCATTGCTGAACTGGGGGCCCTCTGCACATGCTCCAAAGAGACTCATACACCCAAGGCCAGAAGGAAAGTTTGTTCTGCTTTCCCTACACTGGCACCCTCCAGATGTTTCAGACTCCAAGCTCCTATCTGGTCAGGGATAATGGGCTTTGTATTCCCAAAGACAACTGCTTGGGGATGGGATTGAAAATGGAGCCATTCCTAAAGGAGGGAGGAGGACAGGGCTTTGTCCAGCATGGCATACCCCCACCCCCACGCTGTGAGCAAATACTGCCCCACAGAATGGGGACAGGGGGCTTGACTCACTGCAGCTGCCTGGACTCTGCCCCCAGGAACTGTCTGCTACCTGACATCTCGACCGCCTGTTAAAAGTCCACTTGGAAGCCCCAGCGGACACGTGGCAAAGTGGGCAACAGATGGAGGGACGTGGCAGAAGGCAAGGGACTTTGTCCCACGGAGAAGGACAGCCATGCCAGCAATGGGAAGAAGCCCCTCCTCCCCTCCAAAGACAAAGGGGGTCTCTGTTCCAACTCTGGGCGGAAGTTGCCGCATCCTCAGAGCTCCACGGGGCCTGGTGGGGTGGGGGAGCTGCCACCTGGATCGGGATAAATTTAGCCAGGAGTCTCTAAACAGCTCTTGTCTCTGGCTGGAAACCAGAGACGGGAGGGCTGTGGGGGGAGAACCCTGCAGCATAAACATGAACTTTCCCCCAATTCCTTTGCCTCCAGGGGTTGGCGGGGGGCATTAAAGCACGCTGAGCACAGCACTGCTTGCATCATCCCCGGCCGGTTGGAGACGTGATCTGGTGCACGCAAGGCAGAGTGGGTTGGGAGAAGGTCTGTGAGCGGCAGAATGATGTGTGCTAGAGGCTGTCCCCCCACCCGCAAAATGGCTAGCTAGGGGAGGCTCAGCTTTCCTAGCTTTGGAAATACTTCTGCCAGAGTTACTAGCCCTCAACAAGATGCTCACCGTCGTGCCATCTACCTATTTATCAGGTGGTTGGGAATGATAGGAGTTGTAGTCTGAAACATCTAGGGGCATCGGGCTGGAGAAGGCTGTTCTACTTTCATGGGGAAAGGAGGGGAATCTGAAACAGTGCAGTTAACAAAACAAATGCATATGAAGCCTAACACCCTGTAATTTCCCTGCAGTCTTTACAAGCTTCCTGTGCAGTCATCCAGCATGGAATGCACACTTTCCTTTCCTGTGTTTCCTGTCTCTCACTCGCACCGCCCAGAATTTCTCAGGAATCTTTACAACACCCCTATAAAGTAGGCCAGCATCACTACCCCTGCACTGCTTTTAGGCAAGCCATCTCTCACATTCACACAGAGGCAAGACCTAAACCCAGGACATGCCAGTGTCTGAGTGAGTCACATGGTCCAAGAGGAGAAAGAGGGTAAGGGGCTGCATTTCATGGGCCAAGTACAGAGCATTCCTGGAAACACGCCCATGTTGTTTTTTTGTCCGTAATGATCTTGAGTCTCGCTGATAAGCAAAACCCCTGCAAACATGGCGACGGCATCACCTTCCGCAGATGCCCTGAACACAGGCTTCGGCCTGAGGCAGTCCCCGCCCCGGTGCCCCTGAGGCCTGTCAGACTGCAATGCCCGGGGTCCTCCAGCCACTCTCCTCCCTCACCTCGTTCTTTCTTCAGAACATGAGAACTGGAATCTTCAGCTGAGTCAATGGGCAACATCTTCGAGGAGCCCCAGGGAGACCTGCCACTCAGGACAGAGCAGTTTTCCTCCATCAGTGTCCTCCCAGTGATTTGAATTACAACTCCCACCATCCCCATGCAGTTAGCAGGGAAGGGTGGAAATTGCAGCCTGACGCATCAGGAAGGCACTGAGCTGCAAAAGGTTGCTTTAGCACTCAAGGCACTCTGAGGAGACTCAGCCCAGCACCGGCCCTGAACTTCTGTTTGCTGTAGTTTTGCGGGGAAGGGATGAGTTTCCAGAAGTTCCACTTTGGCCACCAGCATTTAAATGCCAGGCAGGTCCCAGGCTGAGTGTTGTTCTGGGGCATGCTGGAAAATTTAATCTGTGTCTGTCTAATGTCAATCGGAAGAACGGAAAGGAAAGTGGAGGAAGAACGGAAAGGAAAGTGGAGGCTCGTTAGGGAGCATAGGTTTAGCACTCGTTTCATTAGCAACCACCCTTTTTGACCCTCTTAAATGTCAGCACTGGGAAAGATGCAATCCAAGGCAAGGAGCAGACCCTGGACAGTGGCCTCTGAGCACAGGCAGAGGGTAATTCACCATCACCACTTGGTGTCAATTGAGCTAGTCACAAATCACTTCTGCATCTCCATAAATGCCAACCAGATGGAGACACTCATGCAGGGAAAGAAGATCAGAGCCTCATCCAGGCAGGTCCAGACCCAGCCAGTGCTGATCCCGGACGGCAAGTGGGCAGGCCTTCGAGCCACACTGCACTGTGTGCCCCCAGCAGACAGATTCCTTGGGCCCAGGTCGTCCTCTTGTCATATGATGGATGGGGCATTTCTGTCAGCTGCTTTCAAATGGCCTAGCAATTTATTGAACTGCTGGCAGGGCACCCTCTTACACACATTTAGGCACGGAAATGTCCCAAAACTCCAGCCATGCTGGCCGGACCACACTGGGACCTGCAAGGCTGTTTGCTTCTTTAGGCCTGCACAGGATCACACCCTTAGCCTGTTAAATCACTTTGCACAGTGGTATTGGCATTTTATCCTGCGTTTTTGTAACAGGCCTGAACCCCAAAGAGCGAAGCCTAGGTCTCCAGCAAATTAAGCTGTTTGTTTTGCTTGGTGTTCAAGTCCGGTTGCTGACATTAGTGCAACCGAGCTTTAGTTAGCACTGCTCTGACCACGACAGCCCGCTTTCACGAAGCTAGAGTGCTTCCCTTTCCTGATGTGGAGATGACAAAAGAGCACACACAGTTCCTGAACATTCCTCACCAGGCTGCTCTTATGAGCAAGAGGCAGTGAGGAGACTGTGCTTTGGGGTTCAGGCACATCGGTCATCTGGGCAGGAATCCTCCTTGCTAATGCACTATACTTCGTTATCTCTTAGCACCTGTGTAAACAATATGAGTCTTGTAACTACATATTGTAATTATGTAGAATGCTGTGCACATGCATTGCAATCCTGCAAGTTTGGAATCTGAAGCAGCTAGCTGCCGCCTTTGCTCTCCGGTTCAGTCTCTCTGAGGGGGTTCTGCAGTGCCTTCTGAACCTCCTGGCTGACTGGGGTCCCATCTTGCAGGAGCCCTTGCTGCGCGGTGCCGCTAAAAGCTTGCTAGCATGTTTGATATTATTGCATTAATAAATAATCTCAACAAACCTGGAATTGGCGTATCACTTTCTGGGAATCTTCTGTCCCAGGCAGGGCAACAGTTTTACTCTCTTGCAGCAGTGAACCACCCTGACGAGCCCAGAAAGCTTTGGCTACTGGCCATGCAGAAATGAAAGTGACTGTAACACAGGGATGCGGGCGGCGATTTCTTTGAGATGCACTGCCTGGCTTTGCTAACTGCGAAATTCAAAGGAATCCAAGCCCGTTGTAGCTAAACGCACATAGACAGATCCAAGCCAGAGTTTTATGGAAGGTTCTATACTGTGGCCCAAGCCCCCAATCTTCCAGATGCCTAGCGACAACCCTGCCGGGCTGGGCAGCCCCCAACTACTGTGCACACAAGTGAGATCCAGGCAGCAAGAAGCATCTGCATCGCCCCGTGGAAAAACTCGCATTCTGGCAGGCAAGGAATTATTTTGGAATCCCAGCACCCGCAGGGGGAGCATTGCCTTTCACCTACTTGGAGAGGGGGCCAGCCGAAAGCGAAGCAGGGGCTGACTGAGCGAGTCCCAGCGTGCTCCTTCTTCCTGCGGGTGAGGATTAACCCCTTTGCTCCCAGGAACAAAACCTTGCCATCAGCATCACCTCTCACACACTTGGCGGCAGCTGGAGGGAGGGGCACCGCAGAGGCAGATGGGCCAACTTGGGGCCTGCGGGCAACCCCCTGATGTTTGGGACTAGAGAGTCCAGCATTCCTGCCATGCCGCCTGGGGCTGATGGGTGCTGAGGTCCCTGGACATCTGGAAGGCACCAGATTTACTGGAAGGAAAGGGAGGACGAAGAGGGCTCCTGAGCATGCATAGGAAGCTTTCTTCCTGCCACTAGCCACAGCCCTCTCCTATGTTTCCGAGCTGAGTGCCTGTATCTCTCTTTCGAGGGGCTGGCGGCAGCGGCAGAATGTGGGTGCACATTTGCCATCATTGTGAACAAAGGTCCTCTTCTGCTTCCTCGAGCAGCCGACCAAATGCCACAGGGAAGCCCCCAGGACAGATGCGCTCAACTGGCATCTTGCGTCTACAATAGGCTGTTCCCAGATGTGGAAGCTGTTTCACTAGGGCCATCTGACATCTCCTCAAGATCAATACCCCCCAAACAGCTGTGTCCACCTAGCATCCAGCATTCCAAGGCAGACTGCTCCTGGATATGGAGGTTCTATTCTGCTAAAAGCAGTTGCTACTTCCATCATGGATATGTGCAATCTTTTATTTTTCACAAGAGTTACACAAGATGCTAGTCAACTGCACACATTGATCGCAGTGCATCCAAAGTGAACAGGTTTCCCAGAGAAATAGGCACGCAAAGTGGGAGAAACATAACATGCTTACAGAAATGCCACTGGCTCAGAAATATGTTTTAAAGTAATTTCAGCTGTGTACATTTGAATATCCAGGTCTGCATCTAAAACAAGTACAGGAGTTTTTCTTCAGAATTTTTATGGACACACAGATTTGCTGCTGGCACAGAAAGCTTTCTTTGAAACAGAAAGCTGAATTTTCAGCTGAATATAACTGGAAACCAAAGTCTGCCTGAGCACAGGAAATTACCGGAATTTGTGCACGCTTATAGGCCAGCTCTGCCACTGCATCATGCGAAAGACCAAGACTCACTCAGAGCATCCCCGGGCTTGCTGCTGGTGTTCTGGCTCGGGCCGGGTGCTGGGCTGGCATTCTCTGGGGGATCTGGGTTCCACCTGGAGCTCCGTATGTCGCTTTCCTTGCTGTGTGACACGAGCAGCAGATTCACCTAAGTTGTGCAGAGGAAGGAAACATAGTTTGGCCTCCTAAACAAATACCGGAAGGGAGAAGAAACGCCATGGTGGTGCTGGTTATGCTTATGCTGTGCCCCCCGCCCTCCACTCCACCCTCACAACCACCCTGGGAGTGGGGCTGAGAGCCAGGGCCTTGCCCAAGTTGCCAGGGAGCTCCGGGGCCGAGTGGCCAGTGGGGTCCCTCAGACGGCCACCTTGCCCTGAGTGCCGCCTGCCATAACAGCGATGCATGCAGGAGCGCACGAATGGAAAAGGGAAGATCCCCTTCTGGCACATTTGTGGTAGCCAAAGCTTTCCTGGCTACTTCTGCAGTTCTTACAAAGCTGGGCAGAGCCTTGGTCTGGATCCAGCACCGGAGGGTCCTCTAGAAGTCCCTCCCTGCTTTCCCTCAACTGCCAAACATTTAGTGACTTCCTGGCTTTCGTGCAATTCCCCCCACCAATTCTAAAGGGCTGAAAGGCCCCTCCGAAAGCTTAGAGGTTGAAGCTAAAGAGGTTTGATGCCCCTGCTGAATAAGAACCCTGCAAGGCTGGACAGCACCGTCCTGAATACTGCCCGAGAGTGGGTTTGGCAACATACACAAGAGCTTAGGCTTTGAAACTTGGGTTGTTGTAGAACCATGGGTTATCATGTTGTCAAGACATACCTCTCCTAACAAGCCATGACTTGTAACCTGTGAACAATCCATGGAGAAAACTCATGCTTTGTTCTTGGATTGTTGCGCCCCAGGCTGTTTTTAGATGCTAAGTCATTCAACCCACATTTCACAGTGGAGCGTGGGTTTCAGACTGGGTGTTTGAACCCAGTCTGAAAGGTGGCAGCATTCTGAACAAACTGGTGTGGTGTTACTCTTCAAGCTGGGAGAGCTGAGGCAGGAAATGGGGGGACTGGGCTGGTGCAAGGGGCGAAGTGCACTGCAAACTGCTCAGTGACTCCACTGGGCACAGCCGTGCAACTGTCAGAACAAAAACCTTGCCCGTCAGGTTTTGGAGGCACATGAACCAAACTGCTCCAGGGCCCAATTCGAACAGCATGCTTTTCTGAATCCCGGACCCCAGTAATAGGCAACTCTGAGCTGTCTGGGGATCTCAGGGCTTGTAGGACCTTTGCCATCTAAGCATGCCTGCATACGCTTTAAGGAACTGCAAACTTTAAGGAAGACTTCTGGTAGTTAAGAGCCCTTTTCCCTCTGAAATCTCCAGCCTACCTCCCCCAGTCCGTGCCCCTCCAGAAACAGCACCACCCATGCCCGCCAGTGTGACCCATCTTCAGGAATACTGAGAGTTAACATGCAGAACACCTGAAGTCTGGGCTGGCCACATTTCCCAGTACCGGACTGGGAGAAGCACCAGAATGGATAAAGGAGAGCAGACAAGGAGGGAAGTGCCTCGGGGCACATGCCCAGCACCTCTCCATGCAGAGGTTCTGTTGGCCCGGCCATACCTTACTCTGCAGGTCTTTGATCTGCAGGTTCTGCTTATCCATCCTGAACTGCTGCTGCTTCACCTTCCGGAAGAGCTCTTCAATTCGCAGGTTCTGCTGAACTATCAGGCTCTGAGACAGACAGACAGACACACAGAGGAGCACTCACTACTTGGAAAAGCCTCTGACGGGGGTGGGGTGGGGGGTGACCTTTGCCTTGGGCTCCTGCTGCAGCATCCTTTTTATTTTCATGCTGTTTTGCTCTTTTGATGCCACTTTCATGTGACATTTACTCAGACTTCCTATTTCTAGTCCACTTCTTTCTGCACAGAATCTGAGGCAGCTTTACAATTCTGCCCCTCTTATTTTATCCTCACAGCAACCCTGCGAGGTGGACTGGACAGAGAGTCAAAGGCAGCAATAACTTATGTAATGACTATGCTTGTATCCCACCTTTCTTCCTCTCAAGGAAACAAGGGCATTGCTCTATTCTTCCTGTTCCTCTCTGCTTTATCCTCACAACGTCCTTGTGGACCAGTTAGCCTACCTCATAGGATCATTGTGACAAAATGGGGGAGGCCACAGGCTTCTTTATTTTTATTCATACATTTAGCTTCCATACAACTCAATAGCTGAGGCTGTCTGGGCAGTTTACAACGATCAACTAAAAATACATTTGGTACCTTTGGTTCCTACCAAGAGAAAAAAAGTGAAGTATAAATATGTGAGATAAAAACAGAAAGAACACTGCCAATCACTGGATTGTGCTGTCACTGAATTCCCAAAGCCTTGACACAGATGTCTCCAACTTGATGTTTCCAGGTTCTGACAATCATTCCAGCTCAAAATCTGAAAATGCCATCAGTCACAGCACTACTGAGACTCTGGTGAACCAAATGCAGCTTCCTGTGTTAATCAGCCCTTCATTCAGAACCCTGAGGACTAGGATCTTTATTTATTTAGAATTTTTGTATGCCATCCCATCGCCTGAGCCTCGGGACAGCTTACATAAAATAAACAAACAAAATACAAATACTGCAAATAATTTAGAGGGAAGGATCCTAGCTGGGTGAAAAAGCTACTTCACATGAAGGTTCAACCTAGCATCTCTAGGCTGGCCTGTCTGGAATCCTCATATTGCTGTCACTCAGTATGAAGAATCACCCAGGAATCTCAAAGTGTTTGGGGTGCAGAATTTTACTGCTATTTCCTCACTTGACACAGGCTCAACACAAAGACCCAGTGCAGCCCTCCCACTCCATGTCCTTTGAAGGTCATCTTTGTGCAGACAAGGCTTTGTGTCCAGCATCTCCCCAAAATGTCATTATTTGAAGAAGCCTTCCTTGGTTGACCTACCTCTGTGTCTACTGATATTGTTTTAACATTGTGTTTCTTGCTGTACATATAAATTAATAAATATAAACACGTGCATGTTACAAAGTGTTGTCTTAAAGAAATACCTGCCCTCCCAGCAATGGGTGTGGCTCCCAGAAGGAAAACACTTGGCGCTGCGTGAGTATTTTTGCTTCTCGCTGAGCTGTGCTGCAAAGGCAGTCCTGGGAGTGTTTCAGAGTCCATATGGCAGGTGGGACGAGAGGCGTTTTGCAGCCAAAGGTGTTGCCACATCCCTGTTTGCTGCCTCCACTTTCAGCATGTAACCTCCCTGGGGCAGGGACCTCTCACGCTCTGTCCAGCTGCAGCCACACAGGCAGCATCATGGGATTTCAGCACTTAATCATTCACAGGGCCACATTCTTACACTAATTTATAAGTGCTGCTATGGATGCTACTGTGCCGCAAGCCATTGCACAGCTCCGGCTCACAGGATGGCTTTCCGCTTAGTTTCATTGCGTTTTAAATTGCTGCAAGTATGCGGAGGCTGTTTGGTGCAGTTCTCTGGCTCAGCCCCCAGTAGGGCAGGTAAGGCCCCCTCCCTGTTGTCACCCTAAGCTCCCCTTTATAGCAACCCTTTCATTGTTCCCGCACCCAAAGGGAAGCCAACGATCCTTTGTTCGGTGCCCTCCTCGCTCAGCCGCGCCGGCCCTTGGTCTATGCTCCTCTTTCATGCCCAGCTCTGCTGGCACGAAGCATATCGAAGCAGCTGGCCAGAGGTGCAACCCAATCAACATGCCACACCAGATGGCATTACGATTGGGAAGAATAATTCACCTGGCGCTTTCTCGCCCCTTCACTTGGGAGGTGAGATTTTATTTGCGCGTTTCCAGTGCTCTTTTCTGGTGCGTCTTTGACGGGCCAGGAGCCTGGGCTGTATACTGCATTTCCTATTCCTCATAATAAACGAGCTCTGCATTTATTTAGTTTAATCATTTCTTCTATTTCTAGCCTGCTTTTTTTCCTGCAAGGACCCAACATAATCATCCTGCGCGGCACTTTTCAAAGAACAGTTCGGAGGACGCTTCGACCCGTGGAAAGAAAGGCGAAAGAAAAAGACAAGGGAAACGCCAATGCCGGGAAACGATTGTCAGTCTCTCCTCCCCAGTCAGCCTCCGTTTCCAAAGGGGCGAAGCGCCCCGCCCACCCCACCATACACCCCCCTCCAAGTCCTCGGAGACACTGCGCCCCCGTCCGAAGCACGCTTCGCCCCGGGCAGTGCCGCGGCCAAGTCACTCAGCGCCCCCTCCACGCTGGCCCCCGGGACGCACCTGCAGCGCGCCCAGCTCCGGAGCCCGGTCGCTGCTGCTTGTGTTGTCGGCGCTGTCGAGGCGCTCGCAGCCCGCCAGCCGCGCGGCCAGCATCCGCACCCGGCTGTCCAGCTCAGCGACGCGGCCGTCGAGGAGGCGCTGGGCGCGGGAGAACTGCCGCCGCTGCTCGACCGCCGAGCGCTCGAGGGAGCTGATAGAGGCATTGTGCGCGCCCAGGAGCTCGGCCAGCTGGCGCAACTGGCTGCGGGTGCTGTCGACGTGGTCCTTCAGCCCGTGGCCCAGCTGCAGCATCCCGTGCGCCAGCAGGTTCATCTCGTCCCACGAGGCCGTCTTGGGGGCACGCTCCTTGGGGGGCGGCAAGGCGGACGAAGGGGCCGCCAGGAGGGCGGCGGTCCCCAACAGCAGCAGCGTGGGAAAGCGCATCTTCGCGGCTCCGCAGCGGCAGACAATGAGGACGTGCGCAAAGCTCCTGCGCCACCAACCTCTCCAGGAGCGCACGCTTTGGAGAAACCACGCCGGACGCGCCCCCTTTTATAGACACCGCCCCCGCCGGCGCGCACATGGCCTCGGCAGACGCTTGGCTCGGCTCCTCCTAGAGCCCCCGCCTCCGCTGCCGCCCCCGCCTCCCGTTGCTCCGCTTGCGCCGGGCGCAGAGAATCGAGGGCGGTGCCCGGAAAGGCCCCGCTCCCTTTCTTGTGTCTTTGGAATTGAGAGGAGGCGCGCATTGCCACCGTGCGCGGATTGTCCAGCTGGGGGCCACGTCGAGCTGGTCATCCTCTCGAGGAAGAAAACTTTGATTGGGAGCCATGAGGGAACTTGAAAGAAACGGGGTCCTCGTAGGGGCACCTCGGGTCTCGCCTCCGGTGGAATCGAACCGTGAGGCTTCAAGCCTGGGGCTCACATTATCCACGGACGGAGAAGGAATTAAGGTGTGAAGTTGAGAGAGCGGCCCTGGGTCGGACCAGGGGACGCCCTCTGAACCGCTGCGCATAGGGAACCCACAGGGCAGCAGCACCCCTCGCTCATGATCTCCAGCAACTGGGGTGCAGAGGCAGGATGTCTCTCATACCGGAAATAGCATATAACCATGAGGACTGGTATCCACGGATAGCTTAATGAGCTCATCAGATGAGACCAAGGCACACCTAGTCCAACATTCTGTTTGCAGAATGGCTGCCCAGAAAACCTACCTGCAGGGCATGAGTGCAAAGCACCTTCCTGCTCATCTTCCCAGCAATAGACCTCTGATGTTGGATGTTGCATATAACTATGCGGACTAGTAACCAGTGATAGCTGCCAGCTTCTTCCCAGCTTCAGTGGACTTTTAAGCTCGTATGCCTTCCAGGTATGTCATCCTCCAGGCCACATCATTCCTAGCCAGTATTGTTTGCTGCTGCTTAATATTAAAAGATAAACACCTAGCAAGAGTAAAATCTAAAAATGCATTCTTGGAACTGTACACATACAAATATTTAAACACACAGAGAGAAGCATACATACCCATCTAAAAACAGTTTAAAACAATCAACAGCCGGAAAGCTGAAACCCTGATTAAGAACCTCTTATGCTGCCACAGGCCAGAGAGAAGCAGAAAATCTTTACTTGATGCCAAAAAGATACCTATCTCGATCTCATGGAGGATCTGTCAGGAAGATCATTCCATAACTGGGAAGCCTGCTGCTACCAAGAAGTTCTGCTCCATTTTGCCAGTGGCGCTTGTTTTGCTGTTCTTATGGCCACACATTATTATGCAAATTTTAATTTCTGGGGAGGGATCCTGGCAAGGTTTTTTAAAAGGAAGGTTTTAAATCAGCCACTTGGGGTTACAATAACAATAAATACATGAATAATTGAAATCAAAGCGTGGGTATGGAGCCTTGGCCTACTGGACAAGCCCTGTTCCTGCAGCCACACACGCCTTCCTTGATCTGCCACTTGTGGGCTTCCTTGCAGCATTCCCCCACAGCCCAGGGACAGAACGTCCCGACAAGGGCGACAATGTTCTTGCATGAGCCTCTGAATGCCTGCTGCCAGAGCTGTTTGTTCTTTCTCACCGGGGCTGGCCAGTATGGCCCAGAGGCAGCTAATGGGATGAACATGTGAGATGGCGCCAAGTCCTCTGCTATGCTTACTTCCCAAAGTGTTCACTTTTACGGCTATAAACTATACTTGGAATGTAGGCACATTAGCTCTGTGAAATCCTTAATAATAATAATAATCCTTAATAATAATAATAATAATAATTATTATTATTATTATTATAACATTTCTATGCCGCCCCTTGCCGAAACCTTGGGGCGGCTTACAACATGATAAAATACATTGAAATACAGTAGTACATAATAAATTACCATTAAATACAAAAATACAAAAAATACATTGACTTACAAATATAAAATTAAAATTATCAGTATAAAATAAAAATATAGGAGGAGAAAGAGAAGGAAGAAGAAGTTGCCCTGGCCAGATCATATGTTTTAACAATTGAAATGATGTTTAAATAAAAAGGTCTTTACCTGGCGCCAAAAAACCAGTAACGACGGTGCCAGGCGGCCTCTTTGGGGAATGAATTCCATAGGTTGGGCCTCCTCTGGGTACTTACTCTCCTAATTTCTTTCATGGAGGGTTCCCGGAGAAGGGACTCTCCCGCAGATCTCAAAGGGCGGTCGGGCATATACGGACGTAAGCACTCGTTCAGGTAGCCAGGACCCAAGCCGTTTAGGGCTTTATAGGTCATAATCAACACCTTGAATTGGGCCCGGGCTTCAATGGGAAGCCAGTGAAGCTGATGGAGGACTGGAGTCATGTGAGCATAACGCCCCGTCCCCGTCAGCAACCTGGCAGCTCCATTTTGCACCAATTGAAGTGTTCGGACCGTCTTCAGGGGAAGCCCCACGTAAAGCGCGTTACAGAAGTCTAGGCGGGAAGTCACCAGCGCATGTGTCACCGTCGCCAGGCAGTCGTACTCCAGGTAGGGGCGCAGCGGATTAATCAGCCGAAGCTGAAGGAAGGCGTTCCTCGCTACCGCTGTCACCTGAGCTTCCAAAGAAAGCTCCGGGTCGAGGAGTACTCCTAAGCTGCGGACCTTATCCCTAAGAGGGAGTGTTGCACCATTCAGGACCAGGTCAAATCCACCCTCTCCAAAACCCGATCCGCCAACTAACAGGACCTCCGTCTTGTCTGGGTTGAGTTTCAGTTTATTGGCCCTCATCCATTCCCTTACCTCGGCCAAGCACCGGTTCAGCACAGCCACTGCCTCATCTGGATTAGTGGAGAACGAGAAGTAAAGCTGGGTATCATCAGCGTATTGATGAATCCGCAGCCCACACCTCCTGATGACCTCTCCCAGCGGTTTCATATAGATGTTAAATAGCAGAGGGGATAGAATGGAGCCCTGTGGTACTCCATGGCATAGCTGCCATGACGCAGAGACATGGTCCCCCAGCACTACCTTCTGGAATCGACCGTCGAGATAGGAACGGAACCACTGCAAAGCAGTGCCTCCAACCCCCAATCCCACAAGTCTATCCAGAAGGATACCATGGTCGATGGTGTCGAAAGCCGCCGAGAGGTCCAGAAGAACCAACAGGGATGTACTCCCCCTGTCCTTCTCCCTGCACAGGTCGTCGTACAGGGCGACCAAGGCAGATTCAGTACTGTACCCGGGTCTGAAGCCGGACTGAAAAGGATCCAGATAATCAGTTTCATCCAAGAGTGCTTGGAGTTGTCCCACCACCACTCGCTCCAACACCTTGCCCAGAAACGGGATGTTGGCCACAGGTCTATAGTTAGTGGCCATCTCTGGATCCAGTGACGCTTTCTTCAGGACTGGTCGTATTACCACCTCCTTTAAAGGGGCAGGCACTCGACCCTCCCTCAGAGAAGCGTTAACCACTTCCAAGATCCAGGTCCCAATCCCGTGCTTGGAGTTATTTATTAACCAAGACGGGCAAGGATCCAATAGGCAAGTGGTGGGACATACTCTTCCAAGCACTTTGTCCACATCATCGGGCCGCAATAATTGAAATTCCTCCAATAATTTTGGACCAGACGGTAGCATTGGCGACTCCTCAGAGACCTCTGATTCATTAGTGGAGTCCAGCTCGTGACGAATCTGAGCGATTTTCTCCCTGAAATGCCTGGCAAAGTCGTCACAGCGGGCCTTTGAGGGTGGCATCGGATCTTCCTTAGGACCCAGGCGAACCAGGCCTTGCAGCACTCGAAGAAGCTCCGCCGGACGGCATTGTGAGGAGGCAATGGAAGCGGAAAAAAACTTCTTTTTCGCCGCCTTCACCGCCACAGCATAGGCCCGATAGTGGGCTCTCAAGTGTGTTCGGTCAGATTCATCCCGTGATTTCCTCCACCTACGCTCTAGCCGTCTCCCAACTCGCTTCATTGCCCGCAATTCAGGTGTATACCAAGGGGAAGAGCGGGCTCTGCCCGGTGGGAGAGGACGCTTAGGAGCGATCGTGTCCACAGCCCTGGTCATCTCTCCGTTCCACAGTTCGACCAGAGCCTCGACAGGAGCATCAGTCTTGTCAGCCGGAAACTCCCCCAGGGCCTTCAGGAATCCATCCGGATCCATCTGGCTCCGGGGGCGGGCCCATACAATCGGGTCCGCACTCTTATAGAGGGAGAGGCCGCTCTTGAGCACAAACCTCACCAGGAGGTGATCTGACCATGACAGGGGAGTCAAACATAAGTTCTTCACCCTCAGGTCATCCTCTTCTTGCCCCATCGTGAATACCAGGTCCAGAGTGTGTCCACGTTCATGGGTCGGGCCAATGACGTGTTGAGACAAGCCCATGGCCGTCATAGAGGCCATGAAGTCCTGAGCCGCCCCGGTCAGTCCAGACTCGGCATGGAGATTGAAGTCCCCCAGGACCAACATCCTGGGGGTCCTCAACACCAGGTCTGAGACGGTCTCTGTCAGCTCAGATAGGGAGACTGCTGGGCAGAAAGGTGCACGGTACACCAATAGAATCCCCAATCTGTCTCGTTCGCCCAACACCAAGTAGAGGCACTCCAGCCCTGGTCTCAAAGGGACCGGAAGACCCGTGAGAGAGATGGAGGCTCTGTAAACCAACGCGACTCCCCCTCCCCTCCCTTCTGGGTGTGAACAGTGTTGAACCAGATACCCGGGTGGGCACAATTGGGAGAGGGCAACATCCCCTCCCTCTCCCGCCCAGGTCTCCGTTATGCAAGCCAGGTCGGCCCCCTCATCCACAATCAAGTCATGGATGAGGGAAGATTTATTGTTGACCGACCTGGCATTGAGCAGCAGCACCGTCAGACCCGAGGGGTGGTTGACAAGGCTACCTGGCGCCCTCTGGTTGGGGGCAGGATCAGAAGGAGGGACAGGTGTCAGCCATCTGTCCATCCTTCTTCTACATGGACACGTTAAGCCCCTATTGTTGTAACGACCATTGCCCGTGACCACGCCAATAGCAGCCCCCGTGGGTTCCCCAGGATATATAAATGTCAA